CTATAGCTTGAATATCTAGAGATGGCTTTACTTAGATGCTGAAAGAGCACTTTCCCTCAAGTTTGTTAGAAACTGTCTTATGGTCAATAAAAAGTATGAGCATCTCTCAGCTATTATATATTATTCAAGGTTTCATTATAGATCTTTTTTAAGTCCTGTGTGAAGATTAAACATATTTTTTTCTACATCAAATTTCAAGGACAGACTTTTTCCACACAAAGAATACAGCAAGTGCAAAGAGGAAGATTGAAATTAGACTTCAAGCAGAAATGCATCCAGTTATCAGCATACAAATAGTGTATTTCATGGTAATATTGCTAATGGAGTTTCCATTGTTGGATAGTCTACAGTATGCAACACAGTAATCAAAATAAAAAGTTCTTAAAAACTATTCATTATACTACCATCTACTACACTTTTCTCAGATATCAGGTTACTAATATCAGGCTTCTTGCTTTAAAGACTACAAGTGGGTCTTTCCTGTTCAGTTCCTTTCTCACCTGAGAGGCGAGAATGGGATGAAAGCCTTGAGTTTACAACGTTAAATGTTTTTGCCAAACCTTACTTTGGACTCAGAGGTGCCTTTTGGGAATTCTTAGTGTTACCTAGATACTTTTAAAAGTATGTTACTGAAATAGAATTGGATTTCTTTTCTTTAAAAAAAAAAAAAAAATTCTCTTTATACTTAGAGACAGAGGCAATATTTCATTAATGTTTTTAAAGAGAGGTTATTTTGGAATAAAAAATATTCAATCGCTTGGTAAGCTCTAAAGGCAATCCACCATTCCTGCAGAAAAGTTAAACTACAAGTCACTAACCTCACTAACCCCTCTCTGAAGGCAACATGGACTGCGGGTATGATTTGTGCTTGCTGAATTACATATGACAATTCAACCTTCATGCAGCTAGCAGCCTCCGAGTGATGTTGCAAAATTGACAATTTGGCAGTTACCTGAAGGTTTCTGAGGTCACAGCCATTTGGCACGTGCCCTTTGCTCCTTGAGAAGCACAGTCTACACAATCATTTGGCTCAGAGTGAATTAATCCAAGGAAATTTCTGTACAAATTGATACTTGAAGGCAGAGCTTCTCAGCCTTTGCCTGGCAGAGCTTAGGGTCTGCAGATAATTGAGGGGAACACAAGACAATGGAGAAAAACACAGTTGCAATTCACAAGGTAAAAGTTTTCCAGGCAAAGCTTTAGGAGGGTTGAAAACCATTTGCTGTACGAAACCCTTAACACATCTTCAACACAGAGGGCAGAACCTGCACTGTCTCTCAGGGGCTGCAGTGCCAGGGCCATCGCAGCGGCACCTGCACAACAGAGGCAGGTGGAGGAAGAGGAGGCGAAGGTCAGGCATTTCTTACACCAATGCCAGCCACCCACTTGGTCGGGAAGGGGAAGCGGAGGCTTATGCTGGAGCTCCCCTCCACAAGGATGTGTGTAGGCAGGTGGAAATTCTGAGACGCACGAGTCAGCTGTGCTGGGACTGCACCTCGCCCCGTTGTAAGAGCTGCTGCGCTGAGTGAGCTGGGGAGCCAGGTGGAGGAGAGCTAGCCAGCTCTTCTGACAGCACTTGCTTTCAAATGCATTCAGAGAACGGGTTTAAAAATCTTTTCCTTCTCAAGAGATCCCTGGGATTTTTAAGGATACGGGTATTTTTATACAATGGCTCATTTTTAACACATTATTTAGACACACTGCAGCATTATATTTTCTACTACTATGTCTGTCTCATTGATTTTGGTGGATAACCATGGGGGAGAAAAGCAAATAAGCTTCTACAAGGATATTTTGTACTTCAGAGGAGAAAAGGTCCAAGATGATGCAATGCTGCAGCCATATTTCCTGGGGCAGGATAAATGCAAGTGGTAAGATGTGAGGAGCTCTGGCAGGGGAATCCAGCCTGCTTCTGGAATTGCTCAAGGCAAACCAGAAATCCAGCAAAAGCATATGCATCACAGAAATAAAGAAAACTGAAGGTATCAGCTAAACTGGATCAAATTAAAAGACATGTTGGGGTTTAGCTGATTAGCTCATCACATCTGCCAAGTTGGACCAGACTTGCCACCAGCTGCTATGGCAGTCCAGAGCACAAGCTCTATGAAGATCCTCTCCATGCTCGGTTACAAAGCTCAGACTGAAGTATACAAAACCAGAGACCATTACTCTATTACAGAACATGGCAGTAGAATAACCTCTTATTTTGGCCCAGAAGTTCTTTGAAAGAGGCATTAGAGATAAAGATATAGTGTCATCCACTGATTTCTGACGTTTCACAAAATAAAAATCCCAACAAGCAAAGCCAGTAAAAATTCTCTCTCCAGATACGCACTTAAACATACTTGGCAACATTTTCAATTCTTAGTATCAAACAGTAATTAATGTGCTTGCATAATTGACTAAATATGCATGAGGTTATTTCCTATTTAGATCTTCAATCTTCACATCTGACATACTTTACCTTACAACAGTGAATTAGCAGAAAGGCAGCTATTTGATGCTAAACTTCTTTGGTTGCTTCTACTAAAAGTCCAAAGAGCATCTGGATGACTTCATTAAGTTCTCCACTGCTAACAGAAAGTCATTGCGGGAGTCCAAATTTCTTTAAAGGTTTACTTTTTCATAACCAAAAAACAAAAACCAATAACAACAAAAAACTGATTGACGTTAATTGGGTAATTTGTGTGGTTCAGAGGCACTCATCACCTCTGCAGTTCACCCACCAGTGGAGCCCTTCGCGGGTTTTTTGGGGGCCGCTTTTCCAATCTACATTGTACGGGTGTTTTAAAAACACCTTTTGCTTGAAAAATAGCCCGCAGTGATGACAGTCAACAACTAAATCGATTAATCATCTGGTATTAGCACAAAACTGTAAATGGGAGTCCAGCAGCAATGCACATTAATCATGTCATTTACTGTTTCAAACGTTTGTGCGCACTTATAGGCACCAAAGAAATTGGGGCAGGCTTCACCCGGGCTCCCTGCGCGCTGGGCATGCTCGGGTGAGCCCCACTTGTAGCACACCTACAACATGTGGCATCTCAGGGGACATGGCTCTGTGCCCTTAGATTGAGTGGGACAGCAAACCACCCGGCTTTCACCTAAATAACTTCCACGTGCGTCCTGAAGTGGAGCGTTACATACGTGGTAGCTTTACCGATCTGTTTTGGTAGCACAGTCTAAGCTTGTGGTGGAGCAGAGAGGGCAGCTGCCGCATGGTGCCAGGTGCTGTCTTGCCTTTAACCTGTCCTTCGGCGTTACAGAGGCACCAGCAGACTCTGGAAGCACGTCAGACTGCTCAGAGAGATTTGGGAAGTGATCCTGGAAGGCTTCTCCATAGGAAAATATCCTCCTCTCCTAGTTTGGTGGCTCAATTACTAACTATCCCCACCAGATAAAGCTGTACTTATTTCCAAGTTAGACCAAAAATTACATCACTGGGGATATAAGAGTGGGGAAGGCCCTGATTTTTTGCTGTTCTTGTTATTGAACATCCTTCGTCTCGTTTTCCCTATAAACCACCCCCCCAATTTGATGGGCAATATTCTGGCAGCATCTGGAACCAGTGGAGAAGAACAAGGCTTATTTGCCAAATAAACCACTGTAATCATGAAAAACTGAGGGTTTCAATCAGCTTTTGGAAATGACCAATAATTTGTACGCTGCTGCAAATACTCGTGCAGTCATTTGGGTGTCAAGAGATGTGTAAAAACTTTTGTTTATGAAGCACAAGTTTTGCTTTAAGAAATCCAGCTTTCCAAACCCAGCGTAACAATGTTCCAGTAGGCTGACAACATGGATTCATTTTATCCAAGAAAGTAAATGGCACAAATAACTTACCTTTGCAGAGTCCCTGCAGGGTTTTCATTTTACTACTATGGTGGTTTTAAAAAGAATAGAAATTAAAGGCAAAACACATACACAGAAAATACAATTTTCTCAATCAGTGATCGTGAGACAAAAGAGAAGAGCCAAGAAACCACCCTGGAGTAAATCAATCAAAAGGAATAACATCGCATCCTCCATACAAAGCTGCCCCGGGAAGCCAGGCAGGGTAAGCTTTTAAAGGAGATGCATAATTTAGGAAAGAAACAGTACAAGGATACGACAGAAGGCAGCCCGCATGTCAGGGTGAAGTGTCATCGTTTAGCCAAACTAGCAGGAAACACCCCGACTCTCACCAAAATGAGATGAGAGACGTGGACCGTGACAGCCAGCTCCACGCTGACAAGCAGCTGGAAGAGAACCACAGGAAGCAAAACCTTCTTGGCAAACATGAGGGAAGGGGTCTGGACCGAAGGGTACCTGATACTACCAACTCTCAGGGTTGGTAGTTCTGAGCTGCTGAGTCACACGTGGCAGATAAAATTTGTTTAGCTGTTATTCTAGGCAAACGGTGAATTTTCATTAAATCTACTATATGCTTTTAAGTGTTTGCTTGCTAACTTCCCAAACAGGATTAGCAAGGCACATTAAAAATGAAGCCAGTATCAAATGCAAATTGAATCCATATTCTAAAATATTAATGGCCAGATAACAGTACTCTGAATAGACACAGAAACATTGTATTTGATGCGTGGTACTGCTTCATGCAAACAGCACATCTCATAGGGTAAGCTGCCTCTCAGAGGCAAATTAAAAATTTGGTTTTGAATGGACTCCTTTTGCTTTCAGGATATTTAAAAAAAAAATAATAATTCAAGTATTTTTCAAAATTGTGTAAAAAGTGTCAGATTCAAGTTCCATTTCAATCAGATACTACATCCTATGTAACTTTTGAACAACTTGCACTTTCCCTTAAAGGCACTCCTTTTTAAAGGGACCTTTAGTTTCAAATTAAAAGGAAATGGTAAAGTGGGTGCTAGATCAAGAAAAACCATGCTAATTTCATTTCAAAATGAAAAGATTTCTCAAAATTAGAAAAGAAGCATCTTCTGTGTTTTGAATGAAGGATAAAATTACTAGGGAAATGCAGATACAGTTGTGAGGTTGTCAGTCCTGATGGCTTTCATATGAGTGATCATATTTAAAAATTTAGCAATCTTAAGGTTTAAGCAGATCTGTTTTAATCATCACAGCTACAGAGGCATACAAAAATACATACTAAATAGGCAGAGGCATCCTCCACCCACACCCTCTGGTACAGGGAATGCAAGTTGTCTGTCGCTCCTTCCAAGCTCCAGAACGTAGACAAGAATGCTTGTGACCACAGAAATAAAAATATATTTTATTCCTTTAGAGGAACGTACTGGGAGCATGACTATGCACAGTATTGCACCTCATGGTGACAACCTCCTTGATAGCTATTTCTAATTAAAAGTGTTCAGCACATCCAGCTATGTTCTTTCCCCGCAAACAGAACTTTGTTAAGCATTGGATAACTGGACGACCCTGCACGAGAAGCAAGTGATGTACAATGAGCGAGTGAGAAAACAATGTGAGGACAGGAATAGTGCTTGGCTGGGGAGCAACTAAGCTGTTAATTGTCAGGTTCAGGAGACGGTTAGTTTAAGTAGTGCAGAAATTGTGCTCTGCTGCTTTTCTTCTGTGCCTCACCATGACACCAAAGTGGCAGTGGGTAGGCTAGTCAGTGTTCAAGGACATTAACTCAAAGGCATTATTTCTGACCACATACTCTCATAATCTTACAGCGGAGGAGGGAAATGATATCAAAGGGAGGACTGGGACAAGGCAGACAAAACAGTTTTCATTCCAAAATTTTGAAGTCTGAGTTGTCTGTAAGATGGCGGTGGCTTTTTTGGGGGGCAGGAGGGGTGAGAGCAGGGTCTAACCTACCTCTTGCATGTCAACATGTACAGGAATTGATGGATCATATTTAAGCACGAAGCCATAGGGGGTTGTGTACCCTATCAATACATCTACATGATTTGGCTTTTTTCTGGGGTGTCTGCGTGGACCTCACTAATATTGCTCTTTAAATCTAGACTGCAAAACATGCTTCCTTGAGGTGTCAGGAACCTTTGGGTCTCTGTAGCAGAAACTGGTGGAGCTGGACCTTCCAGTACCCTTTGTCCACAAATCTACATAACTAAGCCCAGTCGGATTTCTTGGTAAGTATCCTCTAATACAGCCTCACGCAAGATACTGTTCAGTCTTTACCAAGCACAGTAAGATCTAGCAATTTGTATATCCACCAATATACCTGATACCACTAGTGGCATTTCACTGGAGAGAGGAAGCACATCTGCCAAGAGAGCTTCAAGAAAAAGACTAAAATTTATCAGCTATTGATTTAAATTTGGTGAAAGAATGAAAAAGTTGAGGATTTTTGGTTTTAT